AGAAATAAATAACACAGCATTCCAAGAAATACACCTGCTACCTACAGTAAAACAGGGTGGTGGTTCCATCATGCTGTGGGCTGTGTGGCCAGTGCAGGGACTGGGAATCTTGTTAAAGTTGAGGGATGCATGGATTTTAGCACTGGTGCTACAATCTGGCATGTTTACTGATGCAATTTATTGTTGAAGTTCATTGATATTCACTGTCCCTATTAAATAAATAAAGAAATAAAATGAATGACAAATGATTCCACTCAATATCAGAAGATTCTGGAGACCAATGTCCAGGAATCAGTGACAAAGCTGAAGCTGCACCGGGGCTGGATCTTTCAACAAGACAACGACCCTAAACACTGCTCAACATCTACAAAGGCATTCATGCAGAGGAACAAGTAGAACATTCTGGAATTGCCATCTCAGTACCCAGACCTGAATATTATTGAAAATCTGTGATTCATTACCTCCCGTTTAGACTATGTGAACACATTCTTCACTGGTATTCCTAGCTCAGTATTAAATCGGCAGCAGGTTGTCCAGAATGCAGCTCCTAGGTTCCTGATTAACACAAATCGACGTAGCCACATCACCCCAGTCCTTGCATGCCTTCAATTGTCTCCCTGTTGCATTCTGGGTTATTACAGTTTTGACATTTGTTTTCAAAGCATTGAACAACAGCATACCTGTCTGACATGCTAATGCCTTATGTTCCCACGTGCTCGTTGCGGTAAGCAGATCACCTCCTGCTTTGCACTCTATGGATGTGCTATAAATCATGGGGTGAGCAAGCATTTGTCCATGCTGCCCCACAGCTGTGGAATGCACCGCCTATTACTGTAGGGCAGGCGCCCTCTTTGGCAGTTTTTAAATCTTGTTAATAAACCCACTTTTAATTTGTCACTTGCTTGACAGTTTTCATGTTTTATTGTGATATCTGTGCTTTTAGTGTTTTTATTTTCAGTTTCTTATTTTTGGTTGTCTGTTTCAATTTCTCTGTTTATCTATGCTTTCAGTGTTTTTTATTTTTGTTTTATTGTTCTTAGTTTGTTGTAGTTGTTTGTGCAGCCCTTTGGTCTGCTCTCACGCAGTATTTGAACAGTGCTATACAAATAAAACGGTATGGTATGTGAGTTAAAGAGAGCTGTCCATGCTCAGTGTCATAGGCGTCATTTTAACCGGGGACGCCGGGGACATGTCCCCGGCAAAATTTGTGATTGGCAGCTGTGTCCCCCCCCACTTTCAAAAAAGCCTGCTGATGAGGATTTTTGTTTTACCAGCTCAGATCTTATACCAGGGGTCGGCAACCTGTTCCCATCAAAGAGCTATTATTACCCATTTCCCACAGTAAAGAAAACACTGGGAGCCACAGCGGCCACAGCGTTGTGGGCGGGGCCTACCCTCAGACAGCAGAGAGCTGCTCACAACCAGGTGACAGCAGCCGGTACCGGTCGCTCGCATGGGTGTCGCACCCATGGGGGATTCAACACCCACACTTTTCCTTCTGTTTTGCTCACTTCCACACCAGTCTGGTTTCTCTATGTCGCACTCGCTCTGTTTGCCTCATCTCCTTCTTCACCTCCACTTCTGACAGCCGATGTCGGGTTTCCAGAAGAGCAGGAGAGGGAGGGATGGAAGAGCTCGACTGAATTCATAATTTTCCATCTTGACATTAGCTGTACAAAGTCTGAGATTGATAAAGTGAAGAACAACAATTTGCAGAGGTTTATAACTGGCGCGGTGCCAGGTTTTCATTTTTGGGTGGGCCATGGTAATTTTGGAAGGATCTTAATAAGCAGTGACTTAAGTGAAGCAGGCAGGTCGCGCTAGAAAATTTCGTTTAAAAATACGTCATAAATGTTTTCCCCCGTCATTTTTATTTCTAAAATATGAAGTAAAAACTCTCAATTTAATTTTCATTCATTTGTCATTAATATGTAGTCTACACCCGTGCGTTAAGTGGACCATCTTCCAGAAAAAGCAAAGCATCCCACCCACCTCTCCAAATGCGTAAAATGTGCACCACAGCCGTTAGGTGCGCCGCGCGCACCGTCAGCCCAGACAAGAGCAGAGCAAATAGAGAAAGAATAGAGGATAATTCTGTCCGGATGTGGATGGAGATTACATTTCACAGCAGTCTGATCATCATTTAAATACGTAAACCATCATCTAGTCCACGCTATCAGCATTATTTTAATTGGTGTGTGTGTGTGTGTGTGTGTGTGTGTGTGTGTGTGTGTGTGTGTGTGTTTTCCACTTCAAACACTGGTCTAACCAACCAGACCAGCGTGTCCAGTAACATATTAATGTTACACTTCATGTAGGCTAGGAACATTTCACCTGCCGTGGCCCGACCGCTTCTGCTCCACATAAACTTTGTGCGTAATCAAAAGTCTCTACAGGAGCTTTCTGAGCTGCTATTCTGCCTCAGACTGGATGTGTCATGCGTCTCCATATTAGAGATGGGAACAAGCGCTGTTCAGCCAAAGTTTCATAATTTCATAAAAAGAACATTTTTCCAAGTGACACGTCCCTCAGAGAGACCGGGTTTCCAGAACGCTTCAGTGGGAGGAAATCTTATCGAATCGCCGTGGTTCTGCGCTGCGAACCCCTCAGATCTTCAGCTCACTGTCCACCGTGGGCGCTCCGAGCCGCGCTGAACACAGTGTCCAGTATAAAGCTCTGATGTTCTGATGGGAATCAAGTTACCTCTGCGATGTGTGTATTAAAATGTCAGCTCATCCATGCGCATCAGTGTGCGTCGGGGTAATTCTTTCAAAACAACCAACATCCTTGAGTTTATCCGTCAAAATAAACAGTCAAATGAAAATATCTGCAACCTGCAATTTAACTGTTTTGCCTTCTTGTGAAGATTGTTGCAAAGAAAAACCACTAAACTTAATTAACCCCAGAGCCATGCGCACTGCGCTGTACGTCGTGACTGTAAATGAGGGGGAAACGATTTAATCGGATCCTTTTCTTTTCAACATGGTTTAATGTAAAGTTTCATTCAGTACAAACTTTAGTTACACCAATCTAACGAGACAGAGCCTGGATTTGTATTCTGAACAGTTTAAACATGTTTAAAACGGAGACGTGCGTGACGCGTCTAAAATTCGCACCTGCTCCGCTATTATGGAAATTAAACTAACAAGATGAATAACATCAAATTATTTTAGGCACAGACAACATCTCCCACACTTTTGAAAATCTTGCAACGTGCCTGGTCGCTCGTGTACGTCAAAGTTATCTTTCATAAGAAGATAATCAATAAAACTATTTATATAAAGTGGATCCAGAAGTTGTAGCCCGTCTCTGCCTTCAATATTTTGATATTTTTCACCCTGTTGGTGGTTTTACTGAGCAGGTGCCACTTTTGTCATACGTTTCTTTTAAAAACATGTTTAGACTGTTCAGAATACAAATCCAGGCTCTCAGAACCAGAGCGCATGTGGAAGGTTCCTCCCACTGAAGCGAGAGTTTTCCAAACCCTGTCTCTCAGAGAGACTTGTCACTTAGAAAATGTTCCCTGATTTTGAAACTTTGGCTGAATAGTGCTTGTTCATGTCTCCAATGTGGCGACGCATCCAGGAGCTGAGGAGAATCCCAGAATCTGACATCCTCCAGCTCAGGAAGCGCATATGATTACGCACAAGCGTGATGCGTCAACCTGGTCTCACAGTCAGACCGGGTTGGAACTGTTCAGGTTTACGCAGACAATCTTTACATTTAGAATTAGCATACAGATGTAAAATTAATGCAGTAAAATATAAAGCATTTCATTTAAATATCCATTCATTTTTTTACAAGCACAGAGAGCCGCATCAGATGGATGGAAGAGCCGCATGCGGCTACAGAGCCGCCGACCCCTGTGCTAGCCTACTTTATTGTCCCCAGCAATTTTTAAACCCCACTCAAGTGTATGGTTATTGTCCCCAGCAATTCTGAAAACAAACTGACGCCCTTGCTCAGTGTCAAGTGCTTTTTTTCTGTGAGGCGTCTACACTTGAAAAGACCAGACTTTGGCCTCACTCAGATGTCTTTATTTGACCAGTTTCAGGATCATCATAAAGGTCAGCATCAGCATCAGGTGAAAACCGATAGCCTGTCAAGATCAAAAGTCCTCCTCACAGTTGAATTGTTTGCTTGCCTCTGCCATCTCACTTTGTCACCAAGCCCCCACAATGCAGCTCTAAAATTGAAGCAAACGCGGAAATGAAATAATTACCAGTTCCACCCTCATCCGCTGGGGGCTGGTGTCAGAAGCGAGCAAATCCTCATTGACTCCCATGTTAAAAATACCAATTTCACAGCAGAAATAAACGTGTTTACAACCTGGTACTAAAACATGTTTTTTGTTTAAATTATCTAGTTTACACTCATGACAACTCTGAGGGAGTTGAATTTTTTTCTCACTCTTCTGTTTAAGTGTATTAAAAGCCTAAAATTCTGTATAATTAATGAGCATCCGACACACGTGACTGCCGCCTCAGACCCACGTGACCACAGAGCTAGCTCCGTGGAAAGGCCTCAGTAGAGCCTCGGTCTGGCTTGGAAACTGCTCCGGCATTTTGAGTCTCTGTGTTTGTGTATTTGTTTTTGGATATTTTTTGTGCAATTGTTGGACAAAATGACTTGCTGTGGCATTAATTGCACTAATAGAGCGTCCAAGGAGTCTCCACTTCATTTTTTTCGGTAAGTAAAATTATATTTATGTATTTTAGGTCACTGCCGAGCTGAGCTTAGATTTTAGCATGTACTGTTTAACCATGAAATTTAAACGTAATAGGGTAAAACCCAGTGCATTTAACATAATGCTGCATTTTAGAAAATGGGTTGAAATATAACATATTGGTGGAGCTGGGTTCCGACTATCGGCTTGTGGAGCTCTCGGGAGACCGATGTTTTCCACCCATTTCTCCCCTGGCTTCGCGGCTTCTGTTTGCTGCACGGAATGCCGGCTGTTTCTCCCTGCAGCTTGGAGCATCTCTGTCTGATCGCGGCTTCTGTTTGATGGGCCGGGCTGCCAGCTGGGTCTCCCCGCAGCTCGGCGCATCTTTGTCTGATCGTGGCTTCAGTTTGATGCGTTGGCTGCCGGCTTGTGGTAGCCTAGTGAACTAGACCAAATTCTTGCGTTGCAAAGTATGGTCTAGACACGCTCCATTGTAACCTCCACAGCTCCCACCAGAACACTGGCTGGCCAATCACAACTGTCTTTGGTGGTTGTTGGACCAATCACAGCACTATATGTTGTGGGCCAATCACAGCGCTATATATTGCGGCCCAATCATAGCGCTTTATATTGTGGGCCAATCACAGTACTCTAATCAGCGGTGTAGCGGAAGACGTCAGAACTGCGACCGCGAACCGATGCCGCGAACACAAACAACATGGCAGCAGCTCTGAAACAACGTTCGTTTGAAACGGCTTTGTCGGCAACATTGGACGATTTAGACTTGGGCTTTTCTTTAAAACACGAACAGATAGAGGCACTAAAGTCCTTCATTTTTCAAAAGGATGTATTTGCTGCGTTGCCGACGGGATACGGTAAAAGTTTAATTTACCAGCTAGCTCCGGTTGTTGCTAAACGAATGGGACTCAGTGAAAACCCACTTGTGGTTATAGTCTCACCGTTGATCGCCCTTATGGAGGACCAGGTGAAAGAGGCGAGTAAATTAGGACTAACTGCCATGCAACTTGGCGTACACACTTTGAAGGACATTCGAAAAGCCAACTGTCAGTTGATATTTGGTAGTCCAGAAGCCTGGCTCATGCAGAGTAAATGGAGAGAAATGTTGTCTACAAAGACCTTCAGAAATAACCTCTTGGGGATCGTTGTGGATGAGGTACATCTGATTTACAAATGGTGAGTAGCAACACATAACCTAGCCTGGCAAGCCATCCAAAAATAATGTTGCTTCAGCAAATGATGGTCTATAATGTAGGCTACATATAACCTACATTTCTAAGCAATTACATTATGTCTGAATGATGAAGTTTACAACCAGATGTTAAGTTATATTCACTATAAACTCAGATTTTTGAAATTAAACAAAACCTAATATTTAGAGTTGAATGGTGTTGGAATTAGACTTTACAATTTGCTGACTTTTTGCCCAGGGGAAAAGCTGATAAAGGACACAAGGCCTTCAGAGAGTGTTTTGCAAAGTTGGGTGAACTGAGGTCAATTGTGAGACGGGGTGAGTAGGTCAACATTATACAATAAAATCCTATACTGCATCTATATTATTGATTATGTGATGGTGGTATTTAAGTCGCTGCATTTATCCCTTAAAACACACACACACACATACAGCATCCCCTCCTTACTCTGCACCACCATAATGTGTTAGAACTGTCATCCCACTTATGTGTGTGAGAAAATTGGCACTTTGCTCAAAATAAACTCAGATCTTAGCTGACAATATATACATTAACTTCTAACACACAATCCTTAACTTATTAGTAAATGCGTATATGTTCAAAAAAGTGTAGCAATGTATAAACACATTATTCAGATGTTAATGCATTTTCCTTTTCTTTCAGGTACACCCATTTTGGCATTGACGGCTACAGCAGACCTGGATTCCCGAGCCATTATCCAAAAACAGCTACATTTTGAGGATGCTACTCAAGTCACTGTTAGCCCCAACCGAAAAAATATTCGGCTTGGGCTTATCAAAGTGTCTTCCCATACTTTTGACTGCCTGGACTGGATTGTGAGAGAACTGAAAGAGCATGACACCAACATGTTTCAAGTAATCATTTACTGTCGAACACTGACAGCTGTTGGAAGGGTGTTCTGTTACCTGAAAGCAGAACTTGGTGAGGACTGTTGGGCTGATAAAGATCCACAACGCAGGGCAGAAAATTTAAGAATTGGGATGTTTCATAGTCACACCCTTCCTCAAAACAAACGCAGAATACTGGATTCATTTGGTGGAGATGGTCCCTGCAGAGTTGTTGTGGCAACAAGTGCTCTGGGAATGGGACTAAACTTTCCTAAAATATCTCACGTAGTTATGTATGGTGTACCAGAGGATATGGAGGCCATTCTGCAGGAAGCTGGTAGGGCCGGAAGAGATGGTTCTCTGTCACATGCCGTTATTTACAGACTCAGTCTAAACACTAATGTGGATGAGGGACTTAGAACGCTACTAAAAAATAGCAGCAAAAGTTGCTTTCGAAAGGCACTATTCTCGCAATTTGAGAACAACACTGACAGTGTAGTGCCGGGACATTTGTGCTGCACATACTGCCACTCTGTATGTTCATGTACCTCAGCAGGTTGTGACATGGCTGTACCTAAATATGAACAGGCACCACTGGAGGTTTCTGCACCAGGCCAAATCAGAGAGGTTACGGAGGATGAAAAAGATCTGATTCGGAATCTGTTACACACTTACAAGCTCAGCTTGATTCCTGAAACTCATCTGTACACAAACAGCACATATTGTACTGGTTTTAGCGATGAGCTAATCAACTCTGTTCTGGAGCACTGCGCAGAGATATTCGACTTGAACTTTATTATGAACAATCTCCCAGTGTTCAGCAAAAGGCATGCCCAAGAAATACTCAGGATATTATTTGAAGTGTTTGAAGATTTTAAATTCACAGAATTAGATTTTCCTCCAGAAGACTTTGTGGTCCCAGACCCAAATTACATGGGTTACTTTGATGAGGACACCGAGGGGAATGTCCTCTCACAATGTAGCAGTTTAGAATCTGGCCTTTCTGCTTTGAGTACTGACTCTCAAAACAATTAAGTTGTAATTAATGTTTGTTAAATAGTTATGCCCTTTAACCAGACCATCAATGGCAAAACATGTTTCATAATGTGTAATAACTGACATTTATGCAGGTTGTTTAACTTTTTTTTGTTAGTGTAAATATTGTTCCTGATTTACTGTTATAACCCCCTACAACATTATTTTACTGTTTTAAACAACTATATTGTTAATGTTTGTCACTGTGTGTCTTTTCAGATGGCTACATGTAAATAAATCTCAAAGTCATTTATTTTCTTTGTGTTTAATTCAACACTAGTAACAAAATGCTGACAAAAACATTTGCTTAAGTAAGTCACGGGACAGGTAATGAAATAGTAAAAAAAAAAAATATACATACATACACTACACACGCACACACACAGACAAAGCATTTACAGTGTGTCTACAGACCTTATAGTGTTTCAAAGTGTTCCCTTCATATTTTCCGATTTCTCCATTCCTTCAGTTTTCCGTTCATCCACTGCCAGAGATCTTTATGTTTAATCCGCAGAAGATTTTGATCAAAGCCTGGGAAGGCCTGAAACAATCTACCATGAATAACTTTAAACAACTGCTCCTCCTTGAAAACCTCTACCAGTGTTAAAACATCAGTTTCTTGCTGTGCAGCACGATGGGTGCCAGTTGGACTTTTGACACCCAACTCTTCATCTACTTTGTTCATCATTCCTCTAAAAACACCAATGCACTGACTGACCCGACGTGCTGCTTCTTCAGACAAATTTGGACCCAGACCCTTCAGGAAAGACTTGAGGAAGTTATTCAGGTGTTCCAGATGAAGATCAAGGGGTATGTTGCAACCCTTCCCACCCCGGGTGCTCCAAAACCTGTTCCAGGTTACCCTGTGTGCCATCTGGGGTGTCAGAGATGCGTTTACCTGCAGCGTCAGTAGAAAGGTACTGTAGGCATAATGGCTGTGACCGTATGCTTTGTAATACAGTAGGGCTACCCTGTACAACCTCATTAGTCTCTCCCCATCACCCTCTTTAACAGCATCCAACATGTCCATGAGAAAGAACCCAAAGCTAAGCCGCGCCAAGGTGTGTTCTTGTTTGTGATCACGGTTGGAAGATGGTGTGTGTTCATGCAGTTCTGTCAAAGACATCTGTATGTGATGCTTTTTAAGCTCATGGTTGTCTCGGGATTTGAGATAGGTGTAACTTTGTTGACAACCGTGAGCTCTACAGGGATAATGTTTCTTATGAGTAGAGCTCAGGGGGGATTCAGTGACACCAGCAACAGCCTGTGGCACATCCCCAAGCATGATGCACTTGTCCACCACCTCAGATGTTCTTTCATGTAACCAGGCTCTCCTTAACTCAGGTGCAGCAGATTGTATTTCCTCTGGTACAAACGAATCTGGTATTTCTAAATAACACAGGAGAAATCATATGTTCAGTTGCATTTAAAGGATGATCCACAAGCTACACAAAATAGGTAAATATTGTTAGATAACAGCAGTTACCGTCAACATCTTTTAACCCAAAGAGATCCACAGCAGCCGCTAGGAAAAGCGCAGTTGTGTCAGTGGTGAAGAAGTGCTTGTAGGCATTGTAGTCAGCACGGGGACCCTGCTTGGCATTGCTGCACCTGTGACATTCATATTTACTTTTAATACTTCTACTGCACACGGCCATCTTTGTTTCCCGCTTAACGCACAGTGGGTATGCACACATGCATGAAAACACACGCACACACACGCACACACACACACACACACACACACACACACACACACACACACACACACACACACACACACACACACACAATATGCTGGTCAATTCATAGACCCAAAACAAGCATGCACGCATGCACACACACGCCCAAAAGTCGTAAAGCCATACCAGACTTGTCAATTCATAGACCCGATTTGCAGGGGGTCACTCTATAGTGGAAAGTGGTGCAATTGTTATTGAAACACATTACAAAAGATGATGATTGGAGCAAATGTGTTTCTTTTTGTGCGTTGTCACAACTGTGAAGAGAGTGGTACAAATTTTAAAAAATGTTGAAGTCATTGATAGCCAGCAAAACATGTTTTGCTGGCTGAGTAGGCTATGCTGCTCTAATATAAATATGTCGACATATATTCATAACAGTTGACGTACCTTAACTTTGTCATGTTGGCACACAGCGTGCCATGGTCCTTGCCAGACTTGCCACTGAAGAATACCTTGTAGTGTATCTACGACCAAGGAAAATTAAGTCATTAAAGAAATGCTACATTAAAAACAGCACAGAGAAAAAATTGAAAAAACACTTAAACCTCAAAAAGCACTCGAATGGCATGCCAGTCCTCAAACTTGAACACCATGCCTTCAAGCCTCTCTTCATTGGTGTTTCCATCTGCAAAGGCACACTGTATGTTTCGACAGTTTGCCTCAGTGAGCCTGTCACCTCCCACCAGTATTTTGGACACACCATCAGGGCCTTTGGGAGCATACCTGCAATGTTTACAGAGATAGTAGGTTTACAAACAAATAAAAAAATAATCCCAATTTACCCTCCCTGCAGAACATAAATGTAAAAATTAGCTTGTGATTATAGATGTTAAAATATGAACAATTAAAAGTTGTCACTTGTGTATATTGTTTTGTTTTTTACAGTTTCATATAAATCTAAAACATTAAACAAAACTAATAATCACTTTATTAAGCCAGTAAATAAATAATCATGGATTAGCCAAGTGTCTGTACTTATAAACTAACAGCAAAAAAGTTGTTTAACAAGTTTGTTTTATATACACAGTAGTGGGACTATGACATCTGTAACATCTTTTTTGGCCAAAACTCGTAAAAGGCGTAAATTTCTGCAGGAAGGAAGGTTGTGGCCTGCCATAAAAGCTTAGCTAAATAGATTCAGATAGGTGGGATTGCCTCAAACTATAATTTCTGTAGTGTCTCTGGTGCTCTTCTGGATCATAACAACTTCAAAAGTAAATGTGGAAGGAAAAGGTGATGATCTGAGGCACACCGATCTTAGCTAAAGAGAATTATATAACTTGAATAGTAACATAAATATAATTTCTGCCGTTACAGTTTCTCAATCTCTACGTTGGTTCTCTGTATGATAACAGCAGGCATTCTTACTGCAATAAGTTTGGGATCTGAAATAGAATAGGGTTGGCACAAATACATGCACACACAGAAACTCATGTTGCTAACACTCGTACTTACTTGTGCTGAATTTCTTGTAGTACTTCAGACAAGTCAGTGGTTTTGTTTTCATTTTTGAAAATCAATCCCAACGGATGCTGTAATTAAAAATGGGGTCACAAATTAGAAATTTTAATACAATAATAGTGACTGGTTGTTAGAGTAATTAATACAATGTTAGTTTCCAATCTCACATCCGTTGAGGGTTGTGCCATTTCCTCCGAGTACTGATGTGGTATGTGATGCACCACAACATTGCGAAAAGATTTGAAAACTGCCAGATACTGTGTCAAAATTCTACTACCAATGACAATAAACTCTCTCCGCATATATGTTTGTGTTTCATGTCCTGGAAGTGACATAGTGAGGTTGTACTGTTGAAGATCCAAAAGCGGTATGTCGTTGGCCAGGTGATGTGTTGGAATACGATCCTGTACAGCAATGTGGTGTATCCAGTGAATGGATCTGTTACTGTGGAGGGTGGACTGATGGTGTGCATGCATGAAAAAATCCAAGTTATCCATGATTATGGAATATGTGTTTGGTGGAGTTGGCTGGCTCTCTGGCAGAAGCACAGATATTATATTTTCTTCTTCAGTGGCCTTTTCTTCACTGCATTCCAACTCCTCCTCTGTTGTGACACACCAAAAATACAGAGACATAAAGGAAATGTACACACATGAATCAATGAAGTAATCTGGGTGTGTGTATGTTAGACCATACCTGACAACTGAAGTTCTTCAGTGCTCAAGAAGACATCTGTGGGGATAAGTTCTGGTTTGCGCGATGGACTCATTGCCTTTTTGTCCTCTCTGAGGCCAACATTTCTATAGCGCTCAGTCTCCAGAGTCAAGAATGATTCGTTCAGCCTCTTTAGCAGGAAAAGACTGCCTCCACATGTGTTTGCCAACTCCTTTTGCTTTCCTATTGCATTTGTGTGAGCAGTTGTTATTGCAAGTTTGCTAAGTCTGTCAAAGACAGCCTTCTTTGCACCCCCATACAGAAGAACACAGTTCAAATAATGAGCAAATGCTGACAGACGGGGTTGTCGCCCTCTGAGTGCGATAGCAGAAGCAGCACAGATGACAGGACTGGAGTTGTTGCAGATGGTAGCAAAGATAGAGAACAGAAGTGGTGACAGACGCTGTAGGTCTGATTCAAGCTTGTCAAATGAGAAGGACTTCAGATCTTCTGGCGATGACCTCCACAAAATGAAATTGTTGTTGGGGTTGCAAATTATCTTGCACTCATTCTCAAGCAGTGAAAGTATGTTTTTTTTTACTTCTTGAGTTAAGTCTTTATGGTTCATGATGAACTTAGCCGCTGCTGCCCATTTCCTGTTAGTGATATGTTCCACTATCGTAGACTCCTCTGTGTCACACACATTCTGCTTGGTGATGGCCTGAAAGATAGTAAAATAAGGTTAGACACACTTCATAGAATGACTCACACATCACAGCCTCTTCAAACACACACACACACACACACACACACACACACACACACACACACACGGTTAATGTCATGTAGATTATTTGGAATTTATGGAAGGCCAGCTCACGATGTTACACAGAAAACGCACACACAACACAAAGTAACCTATTTCTCATGACGTGAAGCAGACAACAGCACATAAAGCATATGCATGGAGGCTGCATACACATTAATATATTATATGCCAACTAAGAGATTGTAGAGGCTTCCATTGTCACTGCGGTCTCGTGCCTGGGTAATAGGAGCCCTCTGATTTATGATATTGTTGTAGTTCACAGATTACATTAGCTAGGACACATTATGCAAAGTCAAAATTTCAAGGCTAACTTGCTAGCATCAATCACGACAATAATGAACTTAACTAATAAAATTAATTAAGGTAGTTCGGTACTGTTTCAGATCACCTATATATACTTGTATATGAGAAGTGGTAGCCTAGCAAACTTACCGCATTAATACTCCTCACATTATTTATTCCTGGACTTGTAGCTTTGTGGCAAAACCTTTTCAGTGCCCTTGGAGTTTTAGGAGGAGACGGTTCTCGGTTTCTTTTTTCGGAGTTTGTCGCGCTTTCTCTTGCACAGGATTCATCGTCCTTCTCGTTTTCCACCCATCTCCAATACAGTGGAAGATATTTTTCCACTCCTGATAACGTAGAGACACAACCCCTACAGACACGGTTAGACTTCCCTGATCGTTTTTTAATCTCCAATCCAACGAGCAAAAGTCTGTCGGGTATACTTGGCGGCTTCTTATTTTTATCAAACAAGGTAGTGCAATGTCCCAGTACACCTGATATTCGCATGTTTTTCATACAAAAACGACAGAAATCATTGATGTTAGATGCCATTGCTGCCTCCCTGAGCTTTTCCGTCGCTGTGATTACGTCACGTTGTTCGTTATTCTGATTGGTCCTAGTGCTATCCAATTGCATGCAGAAAGGTTGAAAGACAACCGTAGAGCCCGCCCCACGACTGAAAGCCCTCAATGGGTCATGGCCAGACTATATATTCACATATATAGTCTGGCTTGTCAGGCTAGGCTTGTGGAGCTCTGGGATGGAAACCTTTCCACCCGGTTCTCCCCAGCGACAGCTCTGTGCATCTCAGATTACAGCGGCGCTTGTCTGCTGTGCAGCTGCCAGCTTGTGGAGGTCTCAGAGACCTCTGTGTTCCACCCATTTTTACCCAGCGGTCAGCCCGGCGTATCTCTGACTCAGAAGCTCTGGTGTTGTGCACAGTTAACTCCGGTTGTAGCTAGGTTGCTACCTCCTTTAGCTTAACTCCCACCTCCGCTTTAGCTTCGGGTTAGCCAGGGTTAGCTTTAGGTTAGCTTGTAGCTAGTTCGACCAGGTGTTGTCAGTTGATCCCAGCCTTACAGCCCCACCCTCAGCTCCTCCTCTCTTCCCTTTTGTGGAATTGTCTGGGCTTGACGGAACCTGTGACACGGTCAAAATGGCGGTGGTGGCCACCTCCCATTTGGCCTCAAAAACGTGATATTGGAGCCTATGGAAAGGAGATGTCCAGTATATTTATGTCGATGTTTGTCACACACTGGCTGAATGCCTGCTGCAGGCCTTGAGAAGCCACTGAATTGTGAGGTTGTGTGCTCTTGATTTCTTAATTTGGCTCACCTGGAGGAGGACACACACCAGAGTTCACAAGCCCCCTCTGGCCAGTGAGAAGATTGCATGCAGAGCTCATGTGCAGATACTGTGCAGAAGAGACAGCATGAAGAGGAGACAGTTGGCAGAGCGATCTCTGCCAAGTAAGCATGACACCACCCACTCGATCTTTGTGTGGGCATGCCCAAAAAGATCGCATTCAGATGAGCTTTATCCGACTTGATCTTCTACCGGTACAAGGACCACAAGCCATTGGACATCCCGAAGCAGAACGGTGCTTGACTCAGGATTTTTGGTAGCAGATTTTGGACTCTTCACTGAAATGCTGGAACTTGGAGAGACCCTCACACGCATGTCTCGAACAACACCTCTGAAATCAGGATTCACGTTGATGACTTTTCCAAGTCTGAACTGCCCTCTTAGTGCATTTTGGTCACAGATCCAAACAATGTCTCCAATGGCAACGTTCCTTTCAGCAGTATGCCACTTACTTCGAATGAACAGATTTGGACCAGCAAGTTGGCTCCAAGATTTCCAGAAGTTGGTGACTGTTGTTTGTACTTCAGTGAGCCTTTTGAAAGGGTAGGTGGTGTAGTCAACAGTTCTAAAGTCCCCACTTTGTGTGGCTCAACCAAGCAACAGGTTGTTTGGCATGATGTAATGGATGTGTTCTTCTTTGCTCTGAATTCTGGCATCAATGGGTCTCTCATTTGCAAGGTTGGCAACTAGCCGGAGCACTGTCAGGAACTCACTGAAGGTAAGGCCTTCTACATTCCTAAGACTTTGAAGGGCTCT